AATAGTTCAATAGTGCCGTTAATACTGTTAGCCCTGTAGCGGAGATTATTGTCGGAGGCGAATAATAGAAGAAGTTCAGAATTCACGTCTACTTAGGGTACCAGCTCAGCTTTACGGAAGGCGCTGGAGGAGAATTCAGCAGGCGCAGGAAAGCAGCATGGACTAGCTTCAACAAAATCTCAACGATACTGCTAGACGACAACCTCGCGATGAAAATAAAAGCGTCTCTCACTCCACCGTTGTACCGCGCTGCTGTACGGCGCGGAGTGCTGGTCAACCACTAAAGCAGACGAGGAGAAATTCGCTGTCACGCAGAGGTCAATGGAGCGCAGAATTTGCAAGATATCACTGCGTGACCTATATCTCGAATACGGAAATTCGAAAGGTTGATATTGTCCAGGAAATGTACAAACGTAAACGAGAATGGGCCGGTCATGTGGCGCGCCTAAGAGATAACAGATGGACTTCCCGGCTAACTGATTGGATCCCTCTGGATCACAAACGATCTACAGGGCTGCTGGACTAAAGATGTTTTACAGGACAAATTTTCTCCTATTTCGAAAAGGGCTTAGAAAAGCTACGAGAATACCTCCAACAGCAACCTCAACATGGTTAATACACAGCTTTCATGTGGATATCCTGTTTCATAAAAGCAAAGTCCACAAGAGGAATACGGTTCAGGTATGCAATTTTTCATGGGATTGGTAAACTTCTGCTGAACACAAAACGAAACAAGCCGCAGAACGCGGCGTCTACCAACTGGATGTTCAAGGAAGGGCAAGAGGGAAAGAGGAAGAAAAAAAAGGAGGAAGGACGCGCCGCGGTTGACAGATACCCTGACAAGGGAATGGTTTCAACTTCCCATGGAACTTTGAATGGAGACCTAGGTACATCGATAGTCTCGAATGCTGATTACGAATATGCAGATTAAAAGTGCTACGGGGACCTCCCAGACGAGTTCTGGGCGGTCAAAGTTTGCGAAAACTCAGTTTTGGCTCGTAAGCGCTGCTGATCGACGCTAGGCAGTGCCACCGTGGCCTAGTGGTAACGGTCTCGCTTCAAAGGAAATGCTTGTGGGTTTGCATCCCGTTGGCGCGAAAGTTTTTGCTTCGTCTCCTATAAGAGCTTTTACTCTAATTTTCGAAATTCTTCCGAGTTTACGACCCAGCAGAGCAAGTAGATCAAGTAGATCAGTATATGACGTACTCGATCGAGTATGGATTTGGTCACTATCTGCCCTCTCTGAACTCATTAACCATTCGACAAGTTTTGGCGAAAACGCGAAAACGACCAGTTCGGTTGATGATCACAACAACGTGAAAGCAAGCGTTTTCTCGTCAAACGAATGTGATATCAGGGGTCAAATTACCCTCAGGAATCAGTTTCTGGCCGAAACTTCGAATTGTCGGATGGGTAATGAGTTCAGAGAGGGCAGATAGTGACCAAATCCATACTCGATCGAGTACGTCATATATACTTGATCTACTTGCTCTGCTGGGTCGTAAACTCGGAAGAATTTCGAAAATTAGAGTAAAAGCTTTATAGGAGACGAAGCAAAAACTTTCGCGCCAACGGGATGCAAACCCACATGCGTTTCGCTACCACTAGGCCACGGTGGCACTGCCCAGGCATCGATCAGCAGCGCTTACGAGCCAAAACTCAAACTTTGACCACCCAGATCTCGTCTGGGAGGTCCCCGTAGCACTTTTAATCTGCATATTCGTAATCAGCATTCGAGGCTCTATCGATGTACCTAGGTCTCCATTCAAAGTTCCATGGGAAGTTGAAACCATTCCCTTGTGAGAGTATTTTGCCGTTGAATTCTCTTAGAGAAACATTATAAGGGAGCGGGGATCAGAGGGAGACGATAAAGAGCAAGAAAACATAAAGTGAACGAGATCACTGGCGCACTTGTAGAGGGCGTTTTTCACTCTATAGAGGTGTGGAATGTCCTAAGTCACAAGCTTCTAGCATCTTTGCCACGCGCATTTGGAAGGTAAAAGAGACACATCGCTAAGGTTGCCAGCCAACCCGAATCGTGCACCACATGGACCCTCCGTGCCAGCTAACTGTGCAGTGTGCCTTCAGGCAAGCACGGCAAGCGATCCATATGGAAAAAGTGGCCGCAATGTTACAGTTCGAGTAAACAAGTTGCTTAATTACTCACAGTTGTTGCTGGTTGTGGTAGCTTACAAATGTAGTTCTCATTATTCAGTGTGGATATCCGCAATGAGTTGTCGTCCTTGAGCGCCTCCTCGTTTTCCTTCTCGAGCAGCTGACCACCTGCAAGTCCATTCTCGGCAGTGTCGAATGTGACGAAATAATGCACACTGTCGTCGACTTTAGCTGCGTAAATACAGTTTAGAAGCAATAATAAGGACGATAATCGACGCATATTTCTAGGCTAGTAGAAAAGGATCGTGGAGTCAAAGTGTTGCAGAAGGGGGCCGCAATTGCAGACATTGTCCACGCAGATGTCGTGACGCAAACTCACGTCCTCTAGGCTGACTCGTCTTTCGGCTTTTTCACCAATTCGTCACTGCCTGATGTTGTATCAGCTGAATTCATTGAGTCACTTAGTAGTCGACAGAATAAGCGCGAAGTTAGCAATTTCCTGTTTCCCACCAAGGGAATTTTTAGGGGAGTGCTGCTAATCTACTAAGTGAAAAACAGTGACAACTCATCATCTCATTATTAATTCACGGTTTTTATTCTATCAGTGCCATTGGCCATTTGCTAAGTAGCTTTCTAATAGCCGAGTCTTTCACTGATGAACAGCGTAGGGCAACTGTTACCAGTTTTGATTTTGATTTGGCGAAATTCAATATCTGAGATGTAATGATCCATCGGATTACTCGTGCAGAATTCAGTTTTTTGTCGCATCAATCACAGTTGAGTGGTGCCTTTCTCTTTAAAGTACCTGTGTGACCTAACTAGTTTATTGAGCCTATAGATTCTTTATTCACTGCTCTTTTTTTAACATATGTCCACATGGAAACAAAGTAGTGGTAGACATGCGATAATGCGATGATTGGAGAGATTTTGTCTAAGGTTGTCCTTTTCTCCAGTAATTATAGTGACAATTTCAGAGAACGTCACAGACTTTGCGATGCCGCTCGTCGACGTATATTACGGTGTACAGCGTGTCGACACGCATCATCGCGAAGCATGAACGCTGCATAAGGATTTTAAGTTGGTTAAAATGGGTTCATCTATTTTAGATCGCTGTAAAAAAACTCACTTTCGTTGACTCATTTCTTTATTGAAGTAGTAAGCTTTAGGTGGGCGAGATTTATGCTAGTTCCTCGACGTGCGAGGGACTATTGACCTCTCGAAATGAACTTATATTAACAAGTGAGCGGTCACTGAAGCTTGTACGCACCACTTGTGAGGACCTGTAAATTCCTGTAAGGCTCATGAAGCCGCAATGAAATTCATGCCATTTCGTGAGTTTACAGGAGTTACAAGTTGGTCCCAGCGAATAGCGAGGAATGCGTTGTTGATAGAATTTTTTAGGCAGTGTAGAAACAGTAAAAAATTAGTGACCCCTACACCAAATCTTCTCCTTTCAGCGGCTATGCTGCCCTTTCACAAAAGTTATTTTTCATCGGATCCTCACCGCGCCGAGGGAAAAGGGATTCACTAAGTCCTCAGAGAACGAAGAGCAAGGAAAACAAACGGTACTAGCATAAATTAGTGATAAATGTATAGTGTGTCAGGGACATTCGTACAATGGGAGATCCCACGAGCGGAGGGAGGGGTCGTATTGTTAATTTTGCATCTTGAGCGCCTTCTTGTTTTCTTTCCGTTTCACGTGCTCTGCATGACCCCATACCGGACGGCTGTTTTTTTTTGGAGAAAAAAAAAGTGGAGGAATTTCGGGGGGGAAAAATCTTGGAATAGTAGTGGGAACCTGACGAATTTCAGAAAGATATTGCGGGTAGAAGTTAGGATTGAGGGATGTGGGAAGGAGTCGCTACAGAGGACGTCGCATTATTGCAAACAACTTTCCAGTTGCTGTAACGTGCTGGTAGTTTTTGGGCGTTGCTATGTAGCAGGGGCGTGGTTGTGTTGTGTGTGTTGTTGTGTGTGTGTGTGTGTGAGTGTGTGTGGTGGTGTGTGTGTGTGTGTGTGTGTGTCGAGTGTGTGTATGTGTGTGTGTGTGTATGGACAGAAGACAGACAATGAGACAGAAATACCTGACAAAACTCCCCACAGAATGGAAACGCTTTCACGACCCATCCCTCTCCCCAGCGGCCAAAATACGACCCACTTTGTTGTGTTCTCCAAAACGAGTGCTGTGCCCCGCCCTGCAAAGCTCTTCTGTTTCGCTGCATCACAAGAGTTCACAGGTCTCATCAGAGTGAGGAAACTAGCAAAATACCCCGTCTGAGCCAAAAAGCGCTAATTTTTCATAGCATTGATAAAAGGAAAACTTTTTCAGAAAAATAATTTTCCATTTGAGTAGTCATGAAGTTATAAGGAGCTGTTTCGTTTCACAGAAATAGTACATTTTTGGCGATGTTAGCTCACGATTTTCTGAAGAAGGACGATCGCACCTTCAAACCGACATCGTCTTCAAGGTGAGAAATTAATGTTGTATTTAGCTTTAATCCGCGGATTCTGCAGGGTCTGCGGATTTCGCGAGATCTTTACCTATGAACGCAGCTTAACTTGTCGGATTATTGAGCGCAATTCTGGGAGGAGGGGGGGGGCAGGACATATTTTATACATTCTATACGTAAAGCATACCGCGTAGAGCAGCCTTCTTCTTTCTATGAAAGCGCCATTTTAATGCTGCTTTGCCGCATCTACTGGACTGGCGAAAAGGTTTCCACAAGATCATTATCTTCTTTTATGATTTTTTTATTTGGTGTTCATTTCATTAAGTCCTGAACCCACGGTGATAGCGTTGGAATCAAGGAATCGCTCTGTTTATTGAAGCTTCGTTCACATTTTGCAACGGAAAACACGCCCGTCCCTCCCAATAACCGATTTCTCTTGTCTAGTTTGGAGGACTTTTCTGCGTTGGCTCTTTCATTTAGGTCCAACTAAAGACAAGTTTTTTTTATATGGAGATCACGGTGGAGCTACGTAAAGTTAAGATAGTCTCACTCGATACTGATGAAGTGGCGTGTCAGGCGGGATGGTTCTGGCGCGGTGCTAGTCCGTTTTTGTTCTTTCTTTCAGCAGGCGACAAGACTGCATGTTATCTTATTGGTCGTTTTCCACCAGTTGTTTTCTCTTACCCGCTTACCCGCTTAATAGAGAATGAGTTTGGCGCCGCACCAAGCGCATCCCGCCTCAAATGCTCCTTTATCCGTAGCTAACAAGACTCTAGCAGATGATTCCTTGGACATCATACGGTAAATTCCGATGGCTTCACTGTCCCATGGCCCTGAAATTCATTGTGCATATCAACAAACGAAAAAATAATGAATGCAAAATTCCTATAGAAGCCTCTCCGCCAAGTCCACAAATGTTCCTCCACTCCTCCCCGCCCCATATGTCCTTCCTGGCCAACTGCACCACAAAATAGTAGAACAATGGCGACATAGATTTCTTTCTGATAATTGTTTTTTCAGGTCAGCATGGTATTTTTGTGTCTTGGTGCTGACGAAGATTCTTCGATGTATTGGCATATTTTTCCTCGATGTTCTAGCAAAGGGAGTTCACGTAGTTAGCCTGTTATGGCTCGTGAGAGTAATGTGAGTTTGATTTCGATCGAATCAGTGGTACGGATTGATAACGCTTTAAACTTCTAATGTCAGCTCGTCCCTTTTCAGTGCCTCAGCACTCCTACTACCCATCCAAAAACCTCTTTCACATGGACATACCTTAAAAAAACCAACGGTGCGTTTCCTTTCGCTATCAGACTTTGCTATACATTAAGGGCATGTTTTTTTAGTTCATACGTATTGGAAAGTTGGCTTTAGTAAATTGTTTAATAGAGGTGCTGTGGTTTTATGGTATTACATTTTGTGGACCACTAAGGTTTGCCGTTTATTGGATTGCTATGAGATATATCTATGCTTTTTGAGGGTTTTAACTCTTTTTATTCCTACTTACAGGTCAGTTTTGGTTTTTGAGCTGAGCCCATCTGTTTTGTTGGTAGCCATGGCGTCAGTTTTCAAGGTATGGCGTAACCCTGATTTCTGTTATCTGTACATAAAGACATTCGATCCAGGGAAATTCGTCAACAGCTAAAAGTCGGGGTCTATTCTTTCTAGTCATAGGATATATATCGCTTTTGTTATTGGATCGGGATCACTCAATAGAAGATCCTCACGGTTTGTCGTTTTCACTTAATTTCATTCGGTTATTCCAATACATGTGTACTCTTTCAATTAGATCTACTTCTTAGCAAAAATCATTCCAAAAGTTTTCTGTTTTTACTATTTCTTTTGGAGTATTGATGGAACTTCTTCTTCTCTCTACTCTTTTCCTGGTTTCTTTTTTCAATGATTATGCTTACCATCTCCATTACAATCTTCCGTTTGTTCAGACGTAACCCATGGTCATCATAGCGGACTCAATCACTTATTTTACCACCTTATTGCCACGTTTGGTGTAAGTGATCATCAAGGAGGCGTGGCCATCCTGTTTCTGGCATTGGCCCTTCGCATTGGTGAGTAGCACGATTCGATGTTCAGGCGGACATTATTGCTTGTGCAAAAGTACCTTTCGCTTCAAAATGTGCTACTGTAAATCTGATTTGAAAGTGCAACGAGCATTTACCGAAAGTGCTCCCTGTGAAAAATTGGGAATCACTCTAAAAAAGCGAGGGTCCCACTTTAAGCTAAAGGGGTAAAGAGGCCGTATCGGCGGGTGAACAACTTGTTCGTCGTCAATAGTATGTATAATGTTTCTGCATACCCATTTACTATCTGTTTGATAAACGCTCTTCTCCCCACCTCGACTATGAAAAGATGGCATGTTGCGGCTCAAGTGACTCATTGACAACATGGCGTAAACCGCAGAAGTTAAAAGAAAATTCTCGCGAAACGCTTTCTGAGCACTCATACTGCGCGCGTTATAGGTGCAGTAACGCGTTCAGACTTCGCGATGGAGGCGATTGCGTCGCTTGAGTCGAACGACCGAATCGCCTGACTCAGGCGATCCAATCGCTTGAGTCGTACGACCGCTTGAGCGGTGCAGAAGTGCGTAATAGCAGAATACAAATCCGGAAATATGCAGACTGTTGATTTATGAGGAGAGTGATGGTTAAGGATGTGGATGTGGGTAGTCAAGGATGTGCATGGGGGGGTATTGGATCGGTGAGGACGCATACGTAGGTATCGATCGCTTTTCTCCGCAGCGGAATTTGTGCATTTCGGCGTGTCCTGCGCATTGCGGCATATTCCGCTTTCTTTGAAATCGAAGTTTTTGTTTTCATTTTTGTTTTTTTCTACTCCCATATTTTCTGCAAGGGGGGTTATGTCTATTGATGTGCATGTTCTTGTTTTTTATTAATGTTCAACGTTCTTCATCCTTCTTTTCTCTTCCTTCTCTCTTTGCTTCCTGTTTATTATGCATTCATTTGATGCATTCATTCTTTCGGTTCCTGGGGTAGTATGGTTGCCAGGTCTGAAACTTCAAGAAATTGACGGAATGGCACCACCAGGAGTGGAGCCTGCGGCTTAATTTGACTCAACACGGGAAAACTCACCCGGCCCGGACACCGTAAGGATTGACAGATTGAAAGCTCTTTCTCGATTTGGTGGTTGGTGGTGCATGGCCGTTCTTAGTTGGTGGAGCGATTTGTCTGGTTTATTACTAAAACGAGCAAATCCCTAGAATGCTAATGAGTGGCTGGATTTTTACGTCCAGTCTACTTCTTAGAGCAGTTCTCTCACAAAAAGTGGGCGGAGTTTCCCACAAGCGGACCTAATGACACACTTCGCTTAGGCTTAGGCTTAAATTTGCTTAGGCTTAGGCTTAGCTCAAAGTGGCGGAGTGACAAAAATCGCGAAATCCGGGATTCCGCAATGGGCGGAGCTTTCACCGAGGGGGCGGAGTTTCTCACGCGTAGGTTCGGGGTTTTGCTTGAGGGGCGGGGCGGGGCGGCGGAGAGTCACGAATATTGCGGAAAAATCGAAATTTTCAAAAAATACAGATTTTGGAGTGGGCGGAGCCTCTCCTAGGGGGCGGGGCCTGTATTGGGGCTATTCTGTCTTCAACGGACCTTGGGAGCCACTTGCCACGTAGTGCCCCACTCGGACCTAACGACACACTTTGGACGAGTTTTCCGCCTCTTCGGGGGTGGACGAGTTTGTTCGGTTACGCGGACCGAGATTCCCGCACTAACGAGCGTCTTTGGGCGAAAAAAAACCGGCAGTGGACGAGTTGTCCGCCTTTCGGACGAGTTTTCCTGCTCGTCGCGCGGCCGTCGCTCGCGGCGGGGCGTGCGGCGTGGGGAGGGGCTACGAGCGGACCTAACGACACACTTGGCGAAAAAACCGGCAAAAAGGGTCCCTTTGGACGAGTTTTCCGGCCAGGCGGACCTAACGACACACCCGGCCGGAGATGAAGCAAAAATGCCGTGAAATGGCTCAAATCGGCGAAGTTGTCGAAAAGAGCCACTTCGGATGAAAATTATAAGAAATGCACAAATTCCGCTGCGGAGAAAAGCGATCGATACCTACGTATGCGTCCTCACCGATCAATACCCCCCATGCACATCCTTGACTACCCACATCCACATCCTTAACCATCACTCTCCTCATAAATCAACAGTCTGCATATTTCCGGATTTGTATTCTGCTATTACGCACTTCTGCACCGCTCAAGCGGTCGTACGACTCAAGCGATTGGATCGCCTGAGTCAGGCGATTCGGTCGTTCGACTCAAGCGACGCAATCGCTTGCGCATCGCGAGTCTTGAACTGCGGTGCGCTAAGAGGAACAAAGAGTGTAGACGGAGCGAGTTTCGTTGTGTCAGCTTTTCTTTCCTTCTTAAGCCCTTTTACGGACTCGAAGTAGAGAGAGCTAGTACGGAAGCCTACTGACGCTGCTCAGGAAGGCGTTTAAGAAGTGAAAGTGAGACGTTGAGTGGATTCGCGGTTTTCCTCGCGTCTCTTAATCGCCAGAAGTAGCGCGCGTCCTCACATTTGCGAGAGCAGGAACTAACCGCCTTCTGAACAGGCATCTACGCATCAAGTGAACGCGGGGAGTGCCTCTAAATGCCCCTTTTACCGGTTTGCACTGTTAAATTTTTGACTTAATTCTAATTTCCTACATCCTGTCCGCTAGCAGAAACGTTATCTCACTCTCGTGGCCTCAAAATTACGTCGTAAGAACGCCAGATGCTCGTGACGTAGGTAGCTAACTGCCCGTTTGCGCATGCTTTCTAATGGTGCAGTTGTTCCGCTATTATTATATTTCTTTTCGAATAGTGAGAGTTTGATGATAAGGGAAAAGAACTGGTGTCGTGAAACCAACATCTGAAATCTCGGCCGGGCATGCCGTCTATTTGTTATATGCTTGTACAAGCTTAAATCACCATGAGTCTTATCTAAGGCAATTCGTGAGGTTTTTTCTGCCTTCCATAATTGAACTGTTTCGTCCTTGTCACTATTGATGTGTATCTGAACCGCATTACCCACCATTTCTGATCACAGGGTCATCACCCTTAACCAGCTTAATTTGAGCGCATTTGCATATTGATCCGTAGCCTGTTTGCTTCAGAAAAACCAGACTTTTTCCAAGAAGAAAAGTTTTTCACTTTCCAAAATTTTGCTCTTTTCACATGGCATATATCGTCAGATGATGTTCAGGTTATGACAACTCATTCCGTCATCTTGCTGTTGAGATTGGTGGACCCAAGCGACTGTACTCTCTTGTGTCGACGTGCTCAGCTGTGATATTAACCCCCATTGGAGTGCTTCTACTGGTCATGAAGACGGTTGGTATCCATGATGTGAACTCATACTGAAATCTCAGCTTTTACTGTCCTTTTAGTCGGTAATTGATTCGCTACTACACTTCATCATCTTGCTCTTCATAGCAACAGTTTTTGTAATGGTTCTCGATTTCTATGCAGAAAGTGTGTGCTTCCAGGTATGTGTATTAACATTATTACATTTTTAGCTTAGTTCGTCCTGGAGTAGGGGGGTGGGCATGGCATGCTTCTCCATCTCCCGCTGCCAATGTCTCCTGTGAGGACCTTTGAATTTGCGTTCATACTTCGCGATTCAAACGACCATTGCGAATTGTGAACGAGCTCTAAACCCCTGTGAAGCAATGCAAGAGCTTCGTTTGCAGAGCTTCGTTTACACTTGACAATTGTCTACAGGTGTCACCAAGGTGAAACGGTAATTCAATTGGAGACGCAAAAGCAATTACCAAAAGTGTTAAATATTCCCCCTCCTCCCTAAGCCGAACAGCGTCCGTTTTCGACGGGATTAGACTTAGATTACAGCACGTCGCTGATCCTGTAATGGCAGCTGCTCGCTGGTCACCTGTGACGATGTTCAGTTGTGCGCTTGGGTTAGCATGGGTATGGTACGCTGGTCAAGGACTACAAGAGCATCATTTGACTTCTGGCGTGATTATTACGGTGATCGCTTTTATTTTAGGTGAGTCTATATTTATACTTCACTTCTTCTGAACCTAAGTTGAATTTGTAGGTTGTTGAACTTCGAGAAAGCGTCCATACTCCGCGCCAGCTTTTTAAGAGTAAGATAGCGTTTTCAGCGACTAGGAAAGTACAGGGATCGATCCTGCATTTTGGCGTACACTGGCATCATACGCTTAGGTACGCTTAACGCGCTGGATTAATTCTTATGCCTTCCCAGCCGCTGAAAACGCTGTCGTACGCTCACAACCTCGGTGCGAAGTATGCACGCACTTCAGTGTTTGGAAATGAAAGCCTATAGCCGATCTTCGACCGAATATTTAGTGGAATTATGGAGGCCATTTTTTAGCTTCGGTGTCGCTGACGTCGGCTAGTGGTCCGAAGCATAGGGGTGGTGAGCTGATTGGAATGTCCGATACTGGGCTGCCACTATTCGCGTACAAAGAAGCTTTTCTTCAAAAGACTGGTCGATCGCTTGTTCTATTCGTGAAGGTAATGTTCACTCTAAATCAGAAAAAAATTTCCGAGGTCCGAGGAGTCCCTGCTACCCTTTTGCGCGCGCTTGATTCAGTTTCCTAAGTTCAGCTCAGGTGGCGTCAAAGTGTTACATCTCAACTGTCGTACAATAGAAGGCGGTGGAGAGAGGCCGTGCTGAACGGCCAGTACCTCTCATGATGTTACTGCGGCCTTCCACATACCATTACCCTGGCTTGTTTATAGTCCTTCAGAATCGACCGTCTATTAGCGGATCCTTTGGCGCTTATTACTTTGGAGGGGCATTCGAAGGCACTTTGTACAGAACTAGAATTTTCCCAATGGAGATAAGAACTTCCTAAAAAATCGAAAAAGTTCCGGGGTACATGAGCCAGTCGATAGCACTGTAATTCTTTTGGGGTGACGATGATCCCAGTTTAGTGCAAGAAATGTTTCCTTTCAATGTTTCCTCTAAAACCATTTGTGTCTTCACTTTCCATTGTCAAAGTTGCGCTTGTCGAGGTCACCCTTTTCAGTAAGGTGACGATCGAATACCTGGAAAGGGACCGGTTGTCTTTGTTGATGGGTTCAATGACGGGATATCTGACAATATGATTATTTCCAGGAAACACTCCGTGAAATCTTAGCAAACTCTGATTCACGTCGTATATTTTGGTTTCTGTGTGTTAATCTATCATTCTGTGGCGTCGAATTCCTTTACGGATTCTGGACAAATAGTCTCGGTCTTATTTCCGATGGATTTCACATGCTGTTCGACTGCTCAGCCCTTGTATGTGCACTTGCTTCCAAATTTTAATGTTTTATATGCAGTTTACCTCTAAACACAGCTTTTTTACAGGTAATGGGTCTTGTCGCTGCAGTCATGTCTCGTTGGCCAGCTTCTAGGCATTTCAGTTATGGCTACGGAAGGGTCGAGGTTGGGTTTTTTACTGGTATTCTTGTAGCCTTGTCCGTCTTCGACTGCATTCATACTTTGCGTCAGCGTTTTGAGCGTACGCCGGCACGCCGGCGTTTTGAGCGACAGTGAAAGTATAGCGTGCGCCAGAATGCGCTCAAAGCGCTGGCGCTAAGTGTGATCGCTCTGTTATGCTTGTTACGGATCAAGGCAACAATTTTCAGGTTTTATCAGGATTTATCAATGCGCTGTTCCTGTGTGTCATAGCTCTATTCATTTTGCTAGAAGCCCTTGAAAGATTATTTGATCCGCCTAATATCAACACTGATAGGCTTCTCGTAGGTTCTATTAATCTTGGTTTTTGGGATTTTGTAACATTTTTCTTACCTCTGTTTCATTAAAGTTTGTTTTAGTTCGTCGCAGTATCGGGTCTTTTGGTCAATTTATTTGGAATGTATTCCTTCCATGGTGGTGAAGGAGACCATGGGCATGGGCACTCGCATGGTGGTGCTTCTCATGGGCATTCTCATTCAGGAAATGCCAACATGGAAGGTGAGTAGACTTTGTACCAGTTCATAAGCGTGTTAGAGATCCGCTAGATATTGCTTAATTAGTCCTTGTTCCGCTCGTTCTTCCTACTCTGCTGCTGATTTCAGGAGTGTTTCTTCATGTTCTGGCAGACACACTCGGCTCTGTTTTCGTTATCATATCAACGCTGCTTATCCAATGGTTTGGGTGGACATGGGTGGATCCGCTCTGTTCGCTGATACTATCCGTTCTTATTCTTGGATCGGTGTATCCACTTCTCACAAGTAGCGTCAACACACTACTGCAGGTGAATCTCTTCTCTTCTTTTGGGCAGGGGGGGGAGGAAAGATGATTGATGCAACTGATCATGTCCAGGAAGGTTATCAATTAGCCGGGGGCTTCTGCCATTGAATCGCCTTTCTCGTATAGCTTAAAAGCTATATATTCTTTTTTTAGAACATTCCTGACGATGAAGAATTTGAGCATCACCTTTGCGAGGCTTTGGAGGTAATCGATCTAAATAGTTGAATTAGTTTTCTTTTCTCCTTTTCTTTACTTTTTTTGTTTGAAAAGACTGAATGAACATCCCACTTCTGAGGAAATGTTAACTAGTCACGTCTCAACCATAGGCCCTTCTTCAGATCAACTGAAACATACTAAAGGCAGTTGGCACGATAAATCCCCCAAGGCGACTAGGATCAATACTCCTGGCAGGATAGAATTCCGCGACCCTGGGCAGGCGCTGCATAGCGGTTTCCCCGAGGAAGGTGCCCTATAAGCCACAACTTTACGTCCCAAACGCCCGCCACGCCCGCCCGCCCACAAATGGACGACCGTTCCTGACGCTCGTATTCATTCATTGGCTAAGCTATTGCTATTTTCATTTGCTATTTAATTTATGAAGCGAAGGGATTATGAAGCGGCCGTGATGCTGCATGCATACATGGGTACACATATGCAGCCGTATCTTCGGTAGCGGTGATTGGTAAGATGCCTACGGGAAACTCGTCCGAAATCGATTTACAAGTCACTGAGAACGGAGGCTTTTTCTTCGCAGGATTTTGACCGTTTCACTCCGTTCTTTCGCCATTTCCCCACTATACAGCGCCCTACTAGCATTTTAGGCCGAGCATCAAATCATCGTGCCAACTGCCTTTAATATACGTGGTTTAGTGATAGAAATTCAGTTGATCTGAGGAAGGGCTAATGCCCAAAACGTAACCAATAAAAGTTTCTCTCTGGAAAGTTGAGTGTTCATCATGTTTAGAAAAATGAATCTTAAAAAAAACGAAACTGAAGCGAAGTTCTCTTTCCTCTGAAGAAAGCAACCTTTATCTTCAGTTTCGTGATTTAGGTTGAAGGAGTCAAGTCCTACTCGAAGGCGCATTACTGGCAATTGAAGAGCGATCTGAATGTTGCATCGGTGCACATCCAAGCAACTCCTGAGGCCAATGCACAGCTTATCCGACATAAGGTTAAACTGACTATATTGTTGAATCGCTGTTCTTACAGTCATTACTTTTATGGCTCAGATTAGAAACAACGAAAGTACTCTAGACTGAGAATGTAGTAGAAATGTGTTTGTACATTACAACAATTTGTATCTTGTAGGTGGCAGCGCAGTTGAGAGCAGCTGGTGCCACACAGTGTTCTGTACAAGTGGAGAAAGACTTTTTCACTCAACGAATTCAGCAACTTTGTCCTTCTTACAGATTTGGGCACAACGTGAGCCAATTTTCATTTTTTCTTTCCACCTTTCTTTCTTTTTCTCTTTTTCTTTCCGCCAAAGCTTTATAGGTGTCTGTTTGTCTTAGGCGGCTTGAAGAAACGTTTTGCGATTACACAATAGGTGAAATTCTTCTCACATCTAAGGTGCCAATGTCCGAAGCCGCATAGGCAAGTGACGGTTGGAAATTTGTGACAAGGACGATCTGTCATCTCAGCGGGCACGATTACAGGAGGCGGGCGGCTGTCGCCAGCGTCATTGGTGGAAGGAAATTGGCCACACTCCCACAGAGTATGCATTGGCTATCTTTGCCGAACGACCTGCTTCAGCCCTCCCAAACGCTGGCAGCAACCTCTCGCTCCAACAATCGTTTGCCTTTAAACTCCTGCCTGACGTTCTGCCCATCCACTCCCAGCTAATCTTGAGCACAAGGTGTGGAAGTAATATAAACTACTAGCGAATAAAGCCCCGAGTAATCAACTGGGGTACAACGAGGGGCGGCAGTTTGCTTGCGTGAAGATAGCCGTTGCGGAGAATTTGTCCGAACGCCAGTGATTTCGTTTTGTGGTCTTACTTGGGACAATCTCGAAGGTTCTTTCCACTTATTGCTGAGTGATTTCACTGCCAAATACCTCCCGTTTGCTCCAACATTCACACCTTTTCGTCTCCAGATGGGCCTTCGCAATGAGAGGGGAGCAGTTACACACAGACTGACAGACTATCACTAATTGTAAAAAAAATTGTAAAAAAATGATTTCGGTGATTCGATTATCATAATCGCTAATGCCTCAGGTGACTCGAGGTACAACTATCGCTCGTGAACGGAAGCCGCATGCAAATCATGGGCATGGGCATTCTCATAACGGTCACGGTCACGGACATTCTCATTAAACAAACGATATAAGGTCCACGAGTGCCTCCGTCCCAGAATTTGTGATTCTCTGAAACAATGAAGTGGAATATTCGAAACCAATCATAGTTTAGAAGATTAGCATATTTATATATGAGTGTATTTATTTATTGCGTTTGTCTTATTCATACATGATGTCTATCAGGGTGAATGGGTTCTCATTTGTTATCACCAGCTACTGTTTCTCCCTTCCACATCTTTCTTGTGATCGTTTATCTATTTATATTATTATTATAATTGTTGGTTGTTGCTGTGATCACTCTTATGTGGGTTTTCTTTCATGTACTATGCGATATCGGTATGAAGAAAGTCAGCTAATGAAGCGGATGACCAGTGATAATGGACCGTTATGCAACAATCTTGATTTCTGGTCTATTAATCTAGAGATTTTCATCAGACTCCTCGTCAGCGATCAGTTTTGAATTCCTTGTACTTGGGATTCATGCTTTGCGACGGGAAAGGTGGTAGAGCACTTGGCGCATTCCATAGAGGTGCGCTGCTTCACTCCACATAAGGAGAAGATGTGCGGAAAGCTTACAGAGCTTTCTAGATGATAATGTGGGCTCAACGGGGGGGGGAGATCCTCATATTGCAGCTGACGCTGACTTTTTTAGAGCAAAATCCGCAGGCGAATTTTTGCTACAGTAAGCTACAGCAAGGATGGTGCTCATTAGAAAGAAAAAAACTTTCTAGTTTTCAATGCCGTCTAGATATCCGTTCTACGTTATGTCTTCACAAAGTTATACCCATTGAAGGGCAAAAAACTCGCGTCCGCCAAAAATTTTCCGCGAAACTTTCTGGCTAGAAGCCGTCATGTAATGAAAGCTATAGTGTATCTCCTGACAGGGGGGGGGCCAAAAAAAGTCATTCCGGCCGAGTCACATATGAGCGAAGTTTTCGCAGCCCAGACAGAGGAAGTGGATATGAGTACAGGGGAAGATACCCAAGATCTTCCTCTATAAGCAGGAGCCGGCTGCCGCCATTCACCTTCATGTACACCAAAATATGAAGTCATCTCCAGTCGCGGCCTGAGTGGAGAACGCCTTTGGAATTCACGTGGCCTCCAAACAGCTGCGGAACTTCTTGAATGGAATCACCCATGGATAGCTACCTGGAGACCAGTACTCTTGATCTGCAAGACCTCAAACATCGAGCAGCTCCGGCAACGTCGCTACGTCCAGCGACATCATTCACCTCCGAATTGCACCAAGGCGCGGACGTTTGATGCGTGTGGCACTGGCAGTACGGAATGGGAAGACCGATATTTTCTTTGATAGAGCCCGACTGGAAGGTGAGCCTGGCGCGTATATCAAAGTGTAACTGCGCAGAACAGGATATCCTCCCGTACAGTGCGTCGCCCTACGCTTCTTGGAGACCTTGTGCTGCTATACAAAGCGTTTGCGATCACCACATGGAATCGAAGGGTTTTGGAAAAACTCCCGCCTACTTCGAATGGAAGGGCGTTTCGTACCTGATGAAGATGTAATATTGAAAGTATGTCCCCTGACCTGAACCCACTCAATTACCTAGTTCGGAGCTCAACAGGGTGGTCTACAGTGGCGGAGAAATCAACGATCTCGCTCAACTCCGGTACCCACTCACTTTCGCGCGGCCGAATCTCTCGATGGCGCTCCTCCAGAAGGCTGTGGCGGAGTATCATTATAGTATTTAATGTGCTCTTTAATATAGTATCTAAAAATGTCCGATAAAAATTAATCAAGTGGTAACTACATATCGTCCTGAAAAGCTCATGGAGGACAAATTTGACTTTTTTTTTGCCCCCCCCCCCCCTGTAGATTGCGCTGCCATGCGAGCTCACCGATAATTCGTAACCGCACTCGGCAAAAGCTAATGGTGTCTGATTGACTTATACCCTTGTTATACCGATGTGAAAGCCGGTGTGGGCGAATAGGCACCTCCAGCTGCTCAATCGCGACGTCAATCCACGGTACGCTCAGCTGCCTTGGCTCCGTATTGTCCGTCTGGACTCACGGGCCGCACTCGTCTCGCTCCGTCATTTATGACTGGTTTTCATAGAACTTCACTGGATCTGGCATCTACACCTCTAGGAAATTAACCTCTTCAATTACAACATGTACAGCTACATCCAATGAACGGAGCAGATATCTCCACACACTAGACAGTCACTTAAAGGGTAGGGGATCGACGCGACCATACTCACAGTGTGCCGACGGCGGACATATTAACCCTCCGATTTTCTACAACCTCATGCTTGATCCCTGTGCCTCCGTACGTCACCCGCCTACAAACTCTTGTTCGACATTCGGCCACGATTGGGGGATAGTCAGTACCACGCTCTACACCCACGGAATTTGTAAGATGAGTCGTATGTGCGAGATTAAACGGGACTCAGCTGGTTGCAGCAGGCTTCCAGCTGACAACTAGCGCGCAGTCGGACAAGTTCAGCAATGGACCGCTTGGCCGTCACCTCAAAATTCACCTTACATAGGTGCCAAGCAGACCAACCGAGCCATTCCGAATAGATCCTGATTTCTGCCTTGTCGTTGACTGACTTGGAATCAAACTCTCATAGTCGCCAAGCAAGTGCTCCAGTCGCTGCGTTGGCGATAGTCTTCTTCACTTTATTTATTCATCCTTTGCTCTCAAAGCGCATTCCAAAAAGAGAGAAGGGAGAAAACCGCGTTAGAAAACCGCGAGCTGAACTAACATTAATTAAAACAGAAATAAACAAACTAATAGAATTTAACGAGGCTTCAAGCGGAATGCAATGCCATTCACCTAACTTATGGTGAGTTCTGGAAAATGAATGTATATGAGGATTAACAATTGCTTGAAATGGAAGTAGAGAGACGTCTTGTTCGCCGCGGATGAAAGGGCGTGTCAGGAGGGATCGCTTGGCACGAGGCCAAACCTCTTTTCCCCACTAGCTGTTGAGGCAACTAAGCTAAAAGACCATATCATAACGTTCATACCAGTTGTCTTCCACCAGCTGTAGTCGCTAACTCGTCTGAAGAAGGTGGAGAACGGGTTTGGCATCACACCAGATCCGTCCCAACTGATTCATACTCGTCCGCAGCGCCAAAACAAGAGCGAATTTTCCGATTTCAACAACCACTTTTATTCTCTTGTTTTTTATTATTTCTATTGAATAGGGCTAACTTTCTTCTGGTTCATCACTGAGATCAAAACCAAACGCGTGTGTCGACTCGAAACATTCGCCTGACGAACGCAACCTGGGTGACACTGACGATGACGGCACTCAAGCAGAATATCAGCACATACTTGATAATGAAGGCCGAATTCGACTGTTGTAGGGCCATGTCACGAACAGAAACCTGAAAAGCTTCTGAGTATAGAATGTGGTAGAGGCGAAGATGACTCAGCCGTTAGGATCGCGCCTGCCTCTGCTAAAATAATGTCTGGGGGTCTGGTACAGCCCAAGCTCAGAATGGGGTTCATTTTGGGCCGCAACTGGCTCATTCTATTCGAGTGTTCGCTGAAAAGACGAATGTACTATCAGGCACTTATTGAGATACCTCTGCAAAAAGAAAGGTAGCTTCGAAAAGGTAGTTAAGTTCATGTCCCTCTATGCCAACAAAAACGGAATACTTCTTGGAATATTAAAGTTCATCAGTGCGTTCTGGTCTATCACGGTTTTATTTGGATCAAACAGGGCTTCAATGTTTTTGGTATCCGCCTCATATTCGTCTCTCAG